CAGCCCCTGGTGCCACCAGCCCAGGGCTGCTGCTCTGGCCCCAACCAAATGGACCGAGGCTTGGGCAAGTCCATGTCAGTGCAGGACCTGATGCAGGCAGCCCCGGGAACTGTCCAGGATGCCCACCACAGCCACAGCCTCTCATCTCCAAGCCCCTGTACAAGCAGTGACTCCCCCATTGGCTTCCACAGCTGTAGCCAAGACCCTGGGGGAGGAGGGGGTGGCGGTGGTATGGGCAGGAGTGGTGGAGGTGGATGGGGTGAGGAGGACCTCTTTATCAGTGACAGGGAGATAGAGACGCAAGGATTTGACTTCCTGTCACTGGGGACTGCTGAGGGCCACACCTACTCCTCGGAGCTCCTGAGTACAGGGAGCAGAGCAAGGGCAGGGTCCCAGGGCTCTAACCGTAGCCTGGCTCACGGTCAGGCATCCTCACCCTCTGCTGGCAGCACCGAATTGCTGAACATGCCACACGTACGGCTAAAATAAACTTGCCTACATGTTCAGAAGGCACACAAATCTCACCTCACAGAGACGGTTTTTATCCTTTTTGGAGGGGAGTGGGAGGGTGGGAATATAACAAGGGATCTTTTTTGTTTATTTTCATGTTGATCCATTTGATAAGAAACACAGTATTTTCATACAGGCTGATCACATACAGCATATCATCGCATGAGTCTTTGTTTTAAAGTATGATTAACAAAAGATTAAGGCTTGTATAATGGGAACAGACCCCTAAAACCTGAGACTTTGCTATGAAACAAAGCCAACTAAACATGGTCCTGAAAGCCGGCTGGTTGATATGTGACTTTGAGACAGAGCATGAGCACTGCATGTTTTCAGTCAAAGGTACTGAGATTAGTAAGATATCGTTTACACTTGACAAAGTAGGAAGGCATGGACAGCTAACATTTATGGAAAATCCATTTGAGAATACCACTCAACTGTCGTAACTAATGGATAAAAATGGGGCTTAATACTTCTAGAGTTTTACCTGGTTATGTAACAGTCTCAACTGAACAGATGCCTGTATAAACAAACCATCAGCTAGAAGATTGGCTATTTCTATGTAGTTATTCTTAATACCTACCACTGGGTCGGATTCCCCTTGAAATCAATGAAATGATACAGTAGAAACACTACTGTTTCCATCCACAGGGGACGCCAGAGTCAACACAAAGGGAAAGTTCCTTTTAACCGCCCACACATCATCTGTTTCCTGTCTCCCCAATCATGTGACAGGCTTCCATACTGAAGTGAATGTTACCTCACCACTGCCAAACTTTTCATGCTCTGTTCTTCTTCGGTTTTATTTCCATACTATTGTGTCCATTTTAGAGAACCAAATAACCTCCTTCCATTTATATCCTTTAAATTATTATAATAATGAATTACTAACCTCGACCAATGACTTTGGTTTCCCACAATCTTTTCAAATATACCACACACAAAGACCATGACAGTGTTTATGCAAAATTTAGCCCTTGAACTACAGGTCTTACATACATACTTTTTTATTATTTCTGAACGAGAGAAATACAGTTTTAGGCTTTTTTAATGAATTCTTTCTAGTTTCAGGCATCCATTGCATTGCAATAATTTCCATACAGTGAATCAATTAGTGGACTCCTGAAACATGCTTGAGTTATATACTCCTTCACAGTGAATATCAGTTCATTTTTGTTGTTACATGATCATTGTGCGGTTATGCAGTCTAAGTGCAGATAGTTTGAAGAAGTCTGCATGCATTACCTCCTAACAATAACTGTATCAGAAATTACTTGAAACAAGCAAGTTTGAAGTCAGCAAGTTTTCATATCATACTGCCAGCAACTTGAGACAAACTACAGGATTTCTGAGCCACAGCATGTAATGTCCAAGTGATTTGTAGTGAATAGGCTGAATCATGTAAAATTGCAGGACTGCTCCTTTTCAACTTGTGTTATTTTGGAACTCTGACAACCGTAACCATAATCTCTTACTGAGGAGTGCAGCGGGAAAAGCCAGACAGAGAAGATAAGTCAGTGTTCCTGTAACTAATATATGAACACTTATTGATGTCTCTTCTGCCAGCTGTCAGCTGTAGTATGAGTTGCACCAAGTTCAAAGCACATACACGACTATACACACCTGTATAGGCACATGTACAGACAAGAATGCCCATTCCCCCACACGGCCAGCTGTCCATTACGCTGTGGAGGATCTTAGGTACAGTCCAGAGGAGAGGAACAATGAACGGTTACTGCTTATTTTTAGATCAATTATGCACCTCCATGACAGCCATGGATTGAAACACATCTTGAATGTCATTTCTTGGTTAGAAAAACAGTTTGATATTTTGTCAGAATATGTGTCTTAGCGAAGCACTTTGTTTTGGTTCGGAAACAGATACACTGAAAGACTTGTTCAGAAATCTAACTTTGTATTGCATTTGGCTTTTGCCACCCTGTTTCTACATGAAAGGAAGATATCTTATTTGAATTAAGGTCAGTGTTTGCTTTTTTCCATACAGTGTAATGTGGGATTAGTTTTTCTTCCTTGAAGTGGACTCGCTGCAGAATGTACTCCTGTACACGGTACAGAATCAGGTGCATCAGGCAAGGTTAAGTGGCTCTCTCTAAGTTGTAGGATAATCATTATAGCGCCACAAGCAGGTGCAGGTAAATACTACTCATAAAGCATCCAAAGCCTCAGTGGTGAATAATCACCCTCAGCTAGCAGTACCTCAATGAATTCTAAAGAGCCACATCAAAGACCAGAATATACGTGACGGAGTCTTGGGGTCAGTTTGTTTTCAAGAAGTGGATCTTACTTTCCTTCAGATATTTAAATATATTTTGCATGAAAAGGTTGTCATATTCAAACCTATCTATAACTGAGAATGAATGCCATGTGACAAGTCATTAAGAAATCACTATTTATGGTTCGAACTGATTGCATTGGAAGTAAAAAAAGAAAAAAAAAAGACCTCAGCTCTGATATGAAGTCTACAAAATGTGCAGTACATAAAGTATATTGGTGCCTTGCTTTTGTGGTACATATTCATCTCCATATCTAGAATTTCCTGAAAAGTGCATTAGGTTCCTCTGAACAGAAATGGTTGCACTGTCTTCATTTCTCTCCTTGTAAATGTTCCGACTTGAGGCATTTTTCTTTTAAATTCAGAGATCATTTTGCTACTGGGCATAAAACGGGCCTTTAACATGTTAACATTCTGTCTCGTTTCTTTTAATTTATTTAAATTATGTGCACATATTTACACACTAGTAATAATCTCAGTTAGATTTATGAAGCCTGTAATGTAATGAAAATGCAAGTGAACTTTTATTCTCATCCATCAATAAAGGAAATTCTATGAAGAGTTTGGTTTTTGCTTCCTATCATTCACTGACACAGTGGGGTCTTCAGTGGTTCGGGATGAGACAGCAATGACACCAGGAACAAAGACATACTGTTTAAACATCTTTACTCTTATGAACATGTGCTCACACACACACAACAGTGATTAAGGTGCATGAACTAAACAGTAACTGTAACATTGAAGAGAGATACTGTGGCTTCAGCATGAAGATTTAAGGTATCACACAAAGAGTTTCTCGAGCTTGTTTCTCTAAGGTGCAAACAGGAAACATGCAAGCAGCCAATCTACATCTGGCTAGTTAGCATTTCTCTTTTAAAGCTGGAACACTGAGCATTACTTCAAGAAAGACCACAAAACACATCTCTGCTTCATTACTGGTGCTTAACAACTACATTTGTTGGCTAGATCAATGAGCAGCCTAATTCTAACTACAGCAGTACACAGAGTGCCGTAATGCAAATGTCTTGTGTTGTTCTGCCACAAACAGGGTGACACCAAAACCTAAATAGAACAGTGTAGTAACATGTTTATCACTAACAATATGGCAGTTATTTTTTTCCTTCGTCTGCTTTTGCGATGCATTGTGATAATAGACCAGACACTGACTATGGTGTGCAGAAGGTGCAGGGTGCTAGTGTGTCTTCGGCCACGGTGAGCGTTTGGGGCAGCAGCCCAGCACAACGTTCATTTGACCTTCTGTGCCTTCTGTGCGGACTTGGTGACCTTACCGCTGGTGGGGGCTTTCTTTTCCACACCTTTAATCACTCCCACGGCCACGGTCTGACGCATGTCACGGACTGCAAACCGCCCTGAGTGACGATGGAAAAAACATTTGTGATATATTAAATTTAGGTTCACGTTGTCAGTAGCCATGTTTCCATTCAAATGCATCACAAATGTTTACCACATTTTAAGTAAATCTGCAAATGAGAGGGAAAAAAGCTAATTTATGCTTAATAGGAGTTGGTTCATCGAGATAAGCAGTAGGTGGAGCCAATTCTCAACAAGTTCACGTAATAAGGAATTAAGCATGTAATTAAGCCAAAACAGCATCAAATCTCAAACTGTGAAAAACAATGTAGAAAACTGAATGAAAGTATGACATTTGCTTGTTTCATGTATTCATTTTAGGACGGTTACATCAGATCTGTGCGGAGCGATCATGGATGTATGCTAGAGCCATGGGACTGATGAGGAGACTGTCGGAGCGGAAACAGCTCATCCGTCATGTGAGTTAAATGTTCTCTACGCCAGGACTTTATCTTCCATTAAGCACATTAAAAAGGCAAGCAAGTTAAAAACTTTATTTTTCTAAAGGGAGGATGTTCTTTTGAGTAATTTTGTTTCCATCATACTTCAAAATACGCATAACCATACACTGACGGAAAAAAAGATTTGGGTTAATGTTTGATTTTATTTCACAATCTAAAAAAAAAACCTAGAGTGAAGCAACATTGATATTAGAGTAACAGCTTGAGCCATAAGCAGAAATCCTGCAGCAGGACAGTACACTCACCCAGTGGTGGGTACTCAGAGAAGCTCTCCACACACATGGGCTTGCCAGGGATCATGTCCACGATGGCAGCATCTCCAGACTTCAGGAACTTGGGGTTGTCTTCCAGCTTCTTACCAGAGCGACGGTCAATCTTTTCCTTTAGCTCTGCAAACTTGCATGCAATGTGCGCAGTGTGGCAGTCCAGCACGGGAGCGTAGCCAGCACTGATCTGACCAGGGTGGTTCAGGATAATCACCTGGACGACAGCAGAGACAGGTAAAGTCACGTGCAGAAGCAGAGACTCATTAGCATGTCAGTATCCTGTTCAAAGCTCATTCCTGTATGCAGACCTGAGAGGTGAAGCTGGCTGCCTCCTGTGGTGGGTCGCTCCTGCTGTCTCCAGCCACGTTGCCACGGCGAATGTCCTTGACGGACACATTCTTGACATTAAAGCCCACGTTGTCACCAGGCAGCGCCTCAGTCAGGGCCTCATGGTGCATCTCCACAGACTTGACCTCAGTGGTCACATTGACAGGGGCAAAGGTCACCACCATGCCAGGTTTTAGGATTCCTGTCTCTACTCTGCCCACTGGTACAGTCCCAATGCCTGGCAGAGAGAAACATTACCAACTTTAGTGTTTACTGCCACCTGTTTGTAAAACAATGGCATGGCTTCAACTGAGAATTTGAGCTTTAACATGCCTGACGATTTCTATTTCACATGGTGCTCTGAAAAAAGAACAGATGCTCACTTTAGGACACAGAGAGCCAATGGGAATTCTTTCCAGACCTCATTTAGTTCTGCTCTTTTTGTCACAAGGTTCTCTCATTCCCCAAATACTTTCAACATATAATTTGCCACTGACACTTTAGAAAAACGAGATAATTGGAGCACTTGCATCTCTCAAGTTTGTTCTTCCAACTACAAATTGCACAACTATCACTCTACAGCCACCCACACCAACACCACCCTCACCTCCAATCTTGTAGACGTCCTGCAGAGGCAGGCGGAGGGGCTTGTCGGTGGGGCGTGTGGGAGGCTGGATGGCATCCAGGGCCTCCAGCAGTGTGGTGCCTGAGGCATTACCATCTTTACGGTTGATCTTCCAGCCCTTAAACCAGTTCATCTGTGCAGAGGAAGGAGCTCAGAGGTTTACTTCGACGCTTACACTGAGGTGACTTCAGTCATTAAATAAAATAAAGCAATAGTGGTATGTGTGCCCAAGTATATTCAATGTTTTTAACACGCAGGAACCTTTTTGTTTGATGATCAAGGTGCTTACAGACAGTAAGTGGTTGCCGCCTGACAACATCAGTATTCTTGAATAGGCAACAGCTGATTGCAAAGGTCACAACTCCACCACACGGGTCCAAGCTACCTCTGATCCAACCAGTCCTACCTGTACACCACAGGCTGCTGCTCTCCACTCAGTATCAGCTAATCATAAACTGTAGCCTAAAATAGAAGAAACAGTTAGCAATGGTATTGCATGTTTTGCTTACCAGTATCAACAATGTTGTTTTTTGTCCCAGACTGGTTAATCAGATCTTGAAGCTGATGTTGCTCCCACACCGCTTCTTCAGATCTAGGGCTGCAACTAACTTTCATTACAGATTAACCTCCGCCTCCCGGAGACTCACTGTCTAAACATACAGTTACTTTAGATGGCATTACTTTGGCCTCTAGCACCACCGTCAGGAATCTTGGAGTTATCTTTGATCAGGACTTGTCATTTAATTCCCACATAAAGCAGATCTCTAGGACTGCCTTCTTTCATTTACGTAATATTACAAAAATTAGACACCATCCTGTCACAAGACAGTGCAGAAAAACTAATCCATGCATTTGTTACTTCAAGGCGGATTACTGGCAACTCTTTGTTATCAGGTTGCCCTAATAAGTGGC